TTGTTAAATTATGGGTCAAAAACGTAAATTTAAAAAAAAATAAAAATAATATATATATACATATATAAGTGGAAGACTTTCAAGTCTTCCACTTTTTGGGTGTTCTACGGCCGGTGAGAAAGAGAGAGTGAGGAAAAATAAACAGAGAGTTTTTTTTATTTTTTTTCTCTTTTCTTCCTTCTCAGATCTAGGAAAATTTAACCGTTTAATCGTTTCGGGCCAAGAACTAAAGTTGCTCTACTCAGCGAGAGCTACGCAACCACACCAAAGATCGTATTTTTCTTCGAAGGTATCTCAAAGCCGATAATCCAGACCTAAAACTTAGGAAGCTAAATTTGGGCTTCCTTGGCGTTCTTGTAAGTGGTCTCACGCTACGAGAGGTAGGGTTTCCCCTATTTAGATTTAATTTCAACTTAAAATATGACATATGGAATGAGTAGATTATGAGTGTATATCACATGTTAGGTCTTGACTAGTGGGTCAAATATAGAATTTATAATTAATCTTGTGATTAATAAAATTCTATTGTGATTAACTTGGTATAAGTTAATGTTAGTAGTTTAAAGCATGTTAATTGTATGTTAGCATTACTTTATATTTTAATGGAAGATCAAGTTTAATAAAATTATTAACTTGTTATATGATTGTGAAATAATATATATATGTTAAATGATTATTTAACATATGATTATTTTGGTGGACTTTGTGCTTATGTTAAACATGTTATCATGTTGCAAGTCATAGCATGCTAGTTGTGTAAATTGATGTACTCTTTAGGTATTTGATTAAATGCCTAGGTGAATACAAGTATGTTAGTTGAGTTGATTATCTTACATAACATGCTTGAGATCGTGTTAAAATGTCATTATATTGTATTCATTATGTAATAGACATTGTATTTCATTATGCATGGGTTGCACTACATTCATGGGCATTGACATGGGTGAGAGTGTATGCATGGTATGAAATCAATCACCACGTAGGTGGTTGAACGTGGACTCGGAAAAGTCGCACCAAGGTTCGGTTGAGTCGCACGAGAAATTAAATGGATAAATGTGTTGGGGACAGCACGAAGGGCTAGATTCTCCCTCGGGTGCAAGACCCGCTTACTTGGTTTATACACTTTCCGGCGGTGAAATTCCAAAAAAGTGTAACGGCGGAAACGGAGCCGCAGGTGGGATGTCCTGAAGATCCGTTGATGGTTGGTGTCCCATTGGTGTAATACCATAAATCATCTCCCCACAAAGACACAAGAAAATGAATTAATTAGCATTGAGTGTACATAACACCAATGATGGGGGCTTGGAATGCTCGGATACATACGCATGACATTGCATGTGTTATGGGAGCTCAGGATGGGGCTCGGGGTTGGTATTGCTTGCGTGAGTCTCATCTCATGGCATGACATGATCTATAACATTCAATCATAATAGACATATTTAAATGAATGTATCAAATGATTGTTGCATGTGACATTCCATATTCATTTAGGTTGAGAGGTATTCTCTATAGGAGTTACCCTATTGAGCGTTAGCTCACCCTTTATGGGAACATTTTTCAGGTATCGCACAGGCTTCCACCGAAGGCGAGGCCATGGGCCCGCTTTGACGACAGAGCCGGTCTGTGGCTTTTATTTTGACATTGTAGTCCCTTGTTTATACTTACTTTTGGCCTTGTATAATTTTTGTAACAAACATTGTTTATATTTACAAAGGCATGTATATGGGACTCTTTTGGGACATTTATTCTTTTACGAATAAATGTATGTACTGATAATGATTATGGTAGTATTCGAGACTATATAATTGTGAATGGATAGATAGACCGGGTGTGGTCAATGTTGTACATGTTGCGTTTTGAGTAAATCTCCTTGTACAAAGGAGACTCTGTCCAAATTTTGTTAAGTTATGGATCCCAAGAAATGGGGCATAACGGTGTGGTATCAAATTACACGATATCCACCAGTATTACACAGGTCGATGGATAACCAATCGGATAATTACAGACACCCGGACTTTGGGGTGTCACAGGTGGTGGTAGCGGTGGCGATGGTGGTGATGGTGGCAGTGGCGGTGGTGGTAGTGGTGACGACAGCTGTGGCGGTGACGACAGTGGCAATAGAGGTAGTGACAGAGTAGTTTCAAATACTATTTTTTAAAAAAATATTTATGAGAAATAATTTCTAAAAGTAATTTTAAAAAGTCACTTCAAACACAATTTTAAGGGCCTATTTTTCCTATTAAATAGTTTTTTTTTCAACCTAACATAATGGGTTCTATAAATGCTTTTTTCTTGGTTGCACTACAAATTGTCAAGTGTGAATTGACCAATGATTTTTTTATTCAAAAAAAATATATATTGAGGAATGCTGAAATAGAGAAAATAATAACAAAATAGATAGTGTAGCCATCAACTAGGGATTAGTTAAAAGGGGATGAAATTAAGTGTTTTATTTTTTGTAATTTTGGAATTAAAAGAGAAAAAATATTTATATACTAGTTATTGTCTGTATCTGAAGGTACAGAGTAATAAATAATAAACATATTTGTATTCATATCTAAAATCAAATCATAAATATAGAGAAGAAATAAATGAATTTAAACATTAATTTGTAGTGGGGGGTGAGAGGTGGTGGACAATAGTGGTGATAAGAGAAGGTGATGGTTGTAGTGAGTGGCAATGGTGGTGGCGAAGGTGGCTGGAATGGGTGTGGTAGAGGCAACAGTAATGGTGGTGGTGGTGACAGTAATGGTGGTGGCAGCGGTGATGGTAGGGGAGGCAAGGTGGGTGGTGACGGTGACGGCGACAGTGGTGGTAGCAACGACATGGTAGAGGTGGTAGCTATGGTAGCGATGGCGGTGGTAGAGGCAGTGGCGATGGTGGCAACGGTAGAGGTGGTGGCGACGGTGGCAACGATAAAGGTGATGGTTGTGGTGGTGGCGGCAACGGTAGAGGTGATGGTGATAGTAGTGATGGTAGTTATGGTGGTGATAGTGGGGGTGGCGGTGGTGGTAAAGGTGGCAGTTGTGGCGGTGACGGCAGTGGTAGTAGAGATAGTGACATGACAGTTTCAAATACTATTTTTTTTTAAAATATTTATAAGAAATAATTTCTAAAAGTAATTTTAAAAAGTCACTCCATACACACTCTTAAGAGCCTATTTTTTCTATTAGATTTAGAGTGTTAATATTAGCCGTTAGATTAATTTTAAAGTAAAATTTAAAGCGATTTTAACCGCGAATAGAAAAAATTATTTTGTTTATCTTTTAAGATTTGAATTATAAACTACTTTATTATATAAATATTAAAAAAAAAAAAAAAAAGACAATTGGGCAAAGGACATGAATCAGCCGTGGTGAAGTAGGACAATGGCCTCATGCAAGATGTGCAGACCATTCCAATTTCTTTGTCTGTCGAGGATTGCTACTGATTAACCACATTATTCATAATTATTTAATTGTTGTTGATTTTACTATTTATTGGAATTTATAATTAATTTATTAATTATGATGCAATTAAATCAATAAATTATTTTTAAATAACAATAATTAAATTATAGTGATCAGTATCTAAGTTCAATATAATAGTCACGGAAAACTTTGACATTCTATATTAACAAAATAAAACTATAATTGAATAATTGAAGTTTTTAAATTGAATTCGGATTATACAAAACTCAATTGTTAACAGGCCCAATACAACCCAATTGTTCTATTCAGGCCCAGGCTAGTTACCCCTTAGGTGGGCGGGCGACAGATCGGCTCAAAACTGTAATTGGGGCTAATCCAAAAAATCGAGCCCTAGGGCCCATTCGCATAAAGTTTTGAGCTAATCTCACATTGAACCCTAATTATAAATTAATAGCAATGTGGCTCAGACTGTCGTTCATTTTTAAGTACTTTGCAAGTCAGTGCTTCAACGTATGATGAATAACCGAACGACAATCTAGGTGAGCGCTATTAATTTATAATATTGAGGATATAAATTTATAATTTTAATATTTAAAGGTATAAATTAAAAATTAAATCATCTTTTTGAATGAAAAGTGAGATTAGCCCTAAAGTTTTCGTTATTACTGTCCAGTGCGATGATTAACTTGAAGACTTGCGATGCGAGGATGGAGATTCAATGGGTATACTGAAGAGAAACATTCCTATGCAACACAAGGGGTGATCTTATAATCAATCACCATCATCTTCTTCTTCGTCTTCTCGTTCCATCTCCAACGTTGACGATCTTACCCATTATATACCTCGGAAGGTACCTTGGGTATTTCTTGTTTATTTTATGTATCTGTTTGATTGTTTTGAAATTTCGTTGTGTTTCATATGTGAAAATTAGCCTGCAAGATCAAACCCTAAGTCTCTTGATCATTTATTACTCTGATTTTGCTTTTTCACGATTGCACCGAATCCATTTGGCTCCGTATAATTTTTTTTTATGTAAAATTGATCACTTAGAATTGGTCTTAATACAACACTTATGAATGAATTGCTCTATTCTTCTTCATCATTTTGTTTGAATTCTTGTTCCTTTGTGGCAACTACCCTTCCCCCAATACGTTTTCTGCTCTGAACGATTCACATAATTCGTTATGAAAAATGCTATTTGTACCTAAAATATTGTTTGAATTTATCGACCTAATCAATCACAACCATTGAATTAGATTATGAATTGAACAAATACGGGAAATCAATGACAGTGATTGATAGGATAAGCATCATCTCAGCATTTTAGGTCTAAGTAGCATTGTTCATTCGTTAGTGATGCAGTTTTGATCACAGGGTTTTGATTAATCTATGATTTTGAAAACCTGATGAAGATATGTTTTCATCTTTTGGCTTGCCAATATCACTTCATGCTTCAGTTGTTTCAAAGTGATAATTTCCAGATTTGATATACCCATTGGTTGATTGTTTTGCAATATGCACTTTGGTTTTTTAGGTACTGCAGTACTCTAAGAAGTTGGTTGTACCCATTGGCAGTTTGGGACACCCTCAATGGACAACATGGTAGATGATTTGAACAGTGCATATCTGGAGTTTGTCGCAGCAGCAGCCGGTGTACTTGAAGCCAAGGAGACTTCTGGTGGCCAGCAAACAGCAGCCACTGATGCTGCTCTAGAAAATTTTAAACAACGGTGGGAGTTGTTCAGAGTTGCTTGTGATCAAGCTGAGGAGTTCGTGGAGTCCGTGAAGCAAAGAATAGGGTCTGAGTGCCTGGTGGACGAGGCCACTGGCTCAGTTGCCGGGAAGCCAGGGCAGGCCGCTGCAACTGGTCTTCCTCCCATCAGTGCAGTTCGATTGGAGCAGATGAGTAAGGCGGTCAGATTTCTTGTGATTGAACTGCAACATGGTTCCGGAACTGCTGGTGGTTCATCACATCCCCATCCTTCTCCCCCTTTTGATGCCAGATTCTCTGAAGATGCAGCTCAATAGGTGTAAGTTCAGTCCGTTACCTGTTTTGGATTTTATTTGGAAGTAAAAGCCATTTTTTTCGAGTATTACTCAACTCTACTCATTGTCCCCACATTTTTTTGTACATTATAGGAAATAATTAGCTGGAAAATTGCTTATCATTAACAAAATTAAATATATTTATAATACTTATATTTAGCTTCTCTTGTCAATGTTTTGTCTTTAGCATCTTTGATGTGCATGACATGGAAGTCTCCTATGCATTGTCAGCTATTGATAATTGATAAAAATATTGTCAAGTGCCAAACTTCTGTAAAAAGTAACAGCACCTACATTGTTACTGCTAATTCGATGGTGCAACTTTGGTTGGATTGGAACATCCTCAATGGTGTTGTCCTTGTTCGCCATAGCTAAAACAGTTCAAGTATAGGATTGACTATACCATATGCTGTCACTAATCTGTTCAATTAGGAATCCTGTTATTCTTGGGCTTATATTTGATGATTACTTGCTGCAGATTTTATATAGAGAAGTATTGGTTGCCTATATGAGCTACGGAAATGATGACTTTGAAATTTCCGTTTTATTGCTGCCTGTTAATTGTCCTGAACTAGCATGCATATTTATTGATTCAAAATTGAAAGCGGCGGCCTTTTTCACCTTCTAAGTACTCTTTCTGTAGTTATAGTAGTCCCTGTTATAGGCCCTTCTCTTGTAGTAATCAGAAATTGTGGCATTTGGGGGTTTTCCGTCTTATGCTGTTTCTTCCTGGCGACTTCTCTTTTTATGTTTTTGGCTGTTTTATCAAATAATCTTACCCAAAAGTGAAGGTGTGAGATAACCCCAAAACTCAGAAGGTGGAACGTTTTATTTTCCTTTTGACTTTTGATTTTTCCTTATTTATCTGATGTTGATGCAAGTTTTCAAGGCAAAGAGAAGGAAAGCATAATTTCTGTGATTTTTTTCGCAGGTGAATGCATGGTGAAAAATGTTGCAGGTCCGGTCCATCTGTGCTTGAACAGTTTGATCTACCAGATTGTAAGAAGTGATGTTATGACTAGTTGATGCCGGATCCTAATCAGATATGTAGCTTAATGGGCTGTGGAAAGTAATTAGAAGCCATGTTTTTCTTGTGGTTGCTTCCAAATGTGTCGAAAATATGTTGCTCTTGTTATTCATAAACTTTTACTTGCCTACTGACCAAGTACAACCACAATCATTTAGTTGATTAGTAGAGCCAAGTGAGACCCATCAATCTAACAGTTTACATGGGTTGGTAAGGAAAAATTACTGAAAAAGTGGGTCATTGTGGCATTATTGATCTTGTTTTCTTTTCTTTTTTATTTTTTTTACTTAAATTGATGATATCTATGCCATTGGTCTACATGGACGGTAAGGCGGTTCAATTATGATATCTTCATTACGAACTCAAGTCATGGAAGTACAAGATAAAGATTATATATATTTGACCTTCTTTGGATTTCATTGTGATGGGAAATTCTTGTGCTGAACTATTTTATTTTATTAATGGTGATAATGTCCGGTAAAGAACCTATGAGGGGAGGATGATTTCATTATTTATTTATTTTGCTTCAGAAAATGAATTTATAAATAACTCATTTCCCATTAGCACTACGCAGCTATTTGTGGGAAATTTTTTTGCATCTATGTTAGGGCCAAAGCTAAGATTGTAATGCGTGTTTTGGACGTTGAAAAATAAGTTTAACCCACCAAACTGTTATAGCTATGTAAAAATGCGTTGTACCTAATTGAGCGAAAAAAATTTGAGTTTTTATCCGCTAGAGAAACCACTTAAAAAAGGTAAAACTTTTAGTATTTTTCCCTTGCCAAAGGGAATGAATCTACAAGTGTTCTTTTTATTATAATAATGGTTATTTAACACAATAGGGGCTTAATTATAAGAGCAATGCCATGTTGACCAAATTGTTACTTAAATTTTATATTTTAAATCAATGTACGTGGTTACATAAGTGGGGTTTATTAATTTTATCAAATATTCAATGCACGAGATTTTGATGAATTACTTAGGATATAAGATTTGATAAATAAATTTGTGTAATACAACTTTATCCTAATTATAAAAGGGTCAAGGTGTTATGTCATTTTTTCATATCATACTTATTTTTTGCCAAATAAAATATAATGTAAATTTAACATAATTTTATTAGTCAAAGAGTGAATGTATGATTGGAAAAAAATTATATTTTTTAAAAAAAGTAAAGATTCAAAATAGTCTGCGGAAGCATTCAGTCGTTGAAATCTTATTCCCAAATAGAGCTGAAAATTGAGTCGAGTTTTGAGACTGTGTCGAGTTAGATTTTTTAAACGAGGTTAAAAAATTATTCAAATTTAACTTTTTTAAACAACATTCTTATATGAACTTCAAAAATTATTTAAATTCGAATTATATTCGACGTGAACCCGAACCTGAAGCTGAGCCCAGCTCAATTACGAGGTCTAGGTTACGTGGTGGGTGGATTGTCCAAAACAAAAGACCTCGGTAGTCTCGTGTTCTTATCAACGTCGTACCCGACAAAGCAGTGTAACCTGTGTGGGGTTACCATTCTTCCATTAGTCCTCTTCATAGACTTTGGTGGAGCCTAAACTAAAAAACTAATGAGAGCAAGTCCCACACTCAAGATATTCACCAAGAGTGAATCCAGAACACACACATAAATATATAATGTCAATATATCACGTATATGATTTGAATCGGGGGCTAAATGTCCCTAAACGAAGGACCAACTGCAGGTAAATTAGTCTTTCTCTCTCTGTATTATTGTTGTGAATTTTTGTGTCCATGTCCTTGTATTTGAATAATTACATGCATATTTTAAGAAATTTCTATATAGATTCTTGCTGGTTTCCAAACCCAGCTGGCTTTAAGATTTTTTTTTGTTTTTGTTTTTGTTTTTGTTTTTCAGACAAATTATTTTAAAACTTGATTGGTCACATGTAATTATGCAGCCCTCCTGCCAGAATTAAAGTTGGGTCTTTTGATTCTCAACCACTGACCCTTTCGTAAATTTATTATTGTACATATCAGTGATGAGTGATAAATATATTATGAATGGAATTTATGGGATTAATTCACTGCTTGAGTGGTTGAATTGGGTTTATTGATTTTATTTTGTTTATCCTTTTTCTGTAGAATAATGGGATTAGGGGCTGAAGTACAGAAGGTCTTACATTGGATTGCTCAGGCAAGTAATTAACTTTTAGATTTTATCTGCCCGAGTTCTATCATTGATTGTTTGAGCAAAGAGTTAATTTCTTATCCTGGTCAACTTTGGGAGTCAATTCTTATTATTATGTTCTCAATTTTTTGTGATATATTTGCTTGACTGTGATGTAAAATCGAAATGGTATTTTGTAGGATTTTTCTGTTTTCAAAGTTTGTATGCTGTTTTTCTTCAGGCAAAGAAAAATTAAATGTATTTAGTAAGAAAATTTTAACTCGTCCACCGTGAATTTTTTTTACTCATATCCCCCATAGGCCGCATGTGGTTGTCTGTGGATGTAGGTTACTGAGACAGAAATGGTTTCCGATTCCTAATATGCATTCCAGTTTTTAGGCGTTTGAACTCCAACAACACTAGAAAACTTCAACTTTTTTTTGAGCAAATTCATTGGGGGTTACTCATGGTTATAACAATTATGGTCTCAAATGATGAAGATTCCACGTTGTTTTGCAAGATTTCTCTGCCTTTTGGTTGAGATGGTAGATTTCTCTACAGGGAATTGCTGCATGCCAACTCCTCTTTGCAATTGTTTCTCTTTATCAATTTGTTAAATTTGTATTTATCCTATATAGGTAACAAACCTTCGTCATTAGATCTGAAAAACAACAGAGAACAAATTGTTACCATGCCTAACAACATTTCCTCATATAATTTGCATTACTGGGCTATATTTGGATTAGGAGGGACAAACTGTGTCCAATTGTGTCTTTGTAGAGATTGTATGTTTTTCCTCAAAATACTAATTTCTATGCTCATTTGGCTTTTAAGTTTTGTGCAGAGTGGCAAAATTGGACTTTGTTTACTCTGGATTATTCTACATTTGATCATCGGCATATGGTACTTTGCAGTCGATATAGTTCGTGCAATTGAGAGTTATCTTATCTCTAGTGGTTTGTTTAAGAGGTACAAAGCCCTTGATATCAGCAAAGTCAGGTACCTGGCAATTGTTATAGACAGTGAAGAAGCTCGCCAGACTTCAAAGATTATTGAACTTTTGCGGTGGCTTGCAGCTATTGGTATAAAAAGTGTCTGCCTATATGATCCAGATGGTAAGGATGCCTTGGCGAAACTGAGTAATGATGGTATTCATATGTTTTTAGTGAAGATGTCGTTGCAAGATATTGGGTACCAAGTGTGATTGTTTTGGTTGTTGTAGGAGTGATGAAGAAATTCAAGGAAGCCATCATGGCAAGGTTGGGTGATGCAAAATTATCTGAGGTACTGTCTTCTGCTTCTATGGCATCAAGTCCCCGTTGTCACCAGTATCCATTTAGGGGTTTCTCACATAAGGAGAGTGTTCATTTGATACCTTCCTTCTCACCACCAATATACAAATGATGCTTTTACAATATTCCCACTTGTAAAAAAAGAAAAAAAGTTAAAATATAGGCTTACACCAGTGCTTACCAAAACAGATAAGCTTATATCATCAGCCATTTTTGTTATTTTTCTAGACATGTTGGGCTGCCACTTGTATACTTTTTAACTGTACATGACATTTTCCATTCAAACATATGTAAGATAGCTTTGTATGTGCTTTTTTATTAGATTATGGAAATTGTGTATTTGTTGAGCCACTGGAATGCCATTGGAAACTGTAGTGTTTTACCAGATGCAATGCCCATTTCATGCAGGAAGTTACTGTAAATGATCCACTTCTTGACCAAAAATTTATAGCTTTGGAATTTGTTTCATTCTTGGATGGAAAGGAAGCAGTGGCCAAAGCAGCTAACCTACTTTTTGATAAGTATTACTTGGCTGGAGATCAGGAAAAACCCATCTTCACAGAATCTATCATGGTTGAGGCATTAAAGGCCATTGGTTGGTCCTTTTTTTTTGTCTTTTCCCTTCTTTTTGCTCTCCAATTTCCCACATTTACTTGTGAGCTTGCAGATTGCTTTCTTATTGTATGCAAACAGTCTTACCCTTTGGTTAACTATCAGGTTGTGTAGAGACGGAACCTGACCTTATGTTAGTTTATGGGCCTACAAGATGCCATCTGGGTTTCCCAGCATGGAGAATTCGTTACACTGAGATTGTGTGAGTCAATTTGTATAATGTTTCCCAATACATTTACTAATTGTTGCTTTATGGTATAGTTTTTATCGGGCAATGAATTCTCCAAGGAACTAACACAGCCTTAAATAAATATCTTCAGTTTGACTTGGGCTGCATTAAAATTTATTGAAACAAGTTTGTAATTCAATCTGCTCCTTAAGTGAAGAAGGTAATTTTTTTTTTCTGAAGAAAGTGATGAAGGGAAATTGAGTCCATGTAGTTTGAACATTAACTTGTCAGTGCCCTGTTCCTGTTGCTCTATTATAAGTTCATGGTTCTTACGAGTGATCTCATGCTAGACTTTGGGATTCGCTCTAACTAAGGTTTTAGAATGGTAGGTTTCTCAGTTGTGGAGCAGACATTCAGGTTATTTTAAAAAACACTCTAATTAAATTTCTAATTAAGGCACAATACTTCTTGCAGTGCTACAGATAAACTATAAACAACAGTTCCTGTATAATATTCCAGTTACTTTTTCTCTTTGTTCCTTGTGATAAGTTGTCAACAATAAATTTGTTCCTTTGTAGAGCTGATGATTTTTTAGTACCTCTTATCTTCATTGCGTGAGGTAAATCTTCCTTGTGTACTACAAAGACTTGCAGACTGAACCTTGAACTTTTTTTTTTTTGGTTGCAGACATATGGGTCGATTGAAGACCATGAAATGTGGTTCCCTAATAAAAGCCATTCACAAATTCACAATGGTGCGCCAAAACTATGGTATGTATTCCTTTAATCTAATATTGCAATCTGTCAGAAATCCTTGCATAGGTATTCTGTCTTCCCATGTATAAGCCCCTGCCGTATGGAATGCCCCAACCCCAAAACGAATAAAGCAGGAAAAAAAGCTTGTGCATTGTATTTTGCCTAGGTATAAAACAATCTTCTAATTGGCATCCTCTCTTTTCTTTTTTCTTTGTGCGGATGATCTATTGCTGATCTGAAAGTAAGTTCATACACAAACGATTTAATTATTTTGTGTTTTATTTCATTTGGGGATTTGAATGGCCCATCCAAGCTGGTTTTGTGTATGGACTTCCTTTCTACTTGTGTTTGTAATTTTTTCAGTTGTTTCTACTCGTATAATATAGCTTATGGTAGTTTTGGTAGGAAAAGACAGGTGACACACCCCTCCCTAGCATGGCTTGAGGTTGAATCTCATTGCAGCATAGTATCTCCCCTTCAATCATCCCCTTAGGAATGAAAAATGGTTCTCCCAAGACCCCTCCCCAAAAAACCGAGATAGGTGACTTGTACCCAGATGCCAAGTTAGGAGCCAACGAAATGAATTCACTGCATGCTGATGTGATTGAGTGATAATTTATCAGTGACATGTATAGATTAATTGAAATAGATTCCAAAGAAGCTAATTTGAGTGTTTATGTAATTGTTTTTCCTGTCAGGTACATAGGCCAGAACTTTTGAAGCAAATTTGCTTATGTGACCTGTGCAAGAGTAAGGAGTATGGGAGAATGTGGAATGGGGTTTTTTGAGGTGGTGGTTTTCGTATGTGGATTTAGGTATTGGTGGTTGGGGATTTGAGGTGATAGTGGTAGTTCTGGGTGTTGTTCGACTTATAGCGCTTCAGTTGGTGAAAATTTTGGGTTTTGGTATTTAGGAGTGGGTGGGGGATTGGTTTGAGGTGCTGGGTTTGTGGTGGTGGTGGAGGGCCGAGGGAGAGGAGAAGAGTTGCAGATTTTTCATTTTTGTTTTTTTTTTCTTATGACTTTACTCTTTACGATTTGTTTTTAAAATCGTTTTATTTTGTAATTTTATTAAGGATAACGTAGGCATTTTAACAAAGATGTCTATAATTTGGTTAGTTGATTTAGGGTTTACTTATTGGATGGGGTTGACTGTAAGTTGACCTTAAATCTCTAGGTTTCTTTGTAATTCATAAAACCTCGTAAGATGGAGTGTATTTTTATAAATCTTATGTGTTGTTAGTGTAATTTGTTCTATTTATGTTCGACTCTCTCTCTCTCTCTCTCTCTCGCTTGAAAAATGGTTGAGAAGGATGACTGGCATGAAAATTTTGTCTAGACATGACCATAACTGTCCGAACTCATTCAGGTAGTCTTCCAGATGCTGATGGTGAGCTCCGCGGCGCTCTTTAAGGACAACTAGAGTCATAATTTGACTTTAACTTTACTAAACCGTTAGAAATAAGTCAATAGTCTATTTTTCATGAATTGAACTTGGGTGATCATTACTAGGGTAGGGTGATCTTTATGGGATGATGCCATTTCCCAAGAATTGAATTTGGGTGATCATTACTAGGGTAGGGTGATCTTTATGGGATGATGCCATTTCCCAAGAATTGAATTTGGTTGATCATTATTAGGACGAGACGATATCTTGCCATTAGACCACCAAGCTTGATCCTTACCCGAAAAAAATTGTGAATTGCAGGGCCAACTCTTCTGCCCGGGGCATAATTGTTTTACTATGCCTTGTTCCATTGCTGAACGGGACATAAAAGTGAGGACTTCCTTTGGATAACTGATGTCTGGGGAGTGAATGATCCAATTCGGTCCCATTTGCAAAATTACATAACAAAAGCTCGAAATTTTGTTTTCTTTGAACATTTTTTATTTTATTTTTGAATTTTTTTTTACCATGTTGAAGATATTAACTTGGGTTGGGGAGACACTACCATGGCTGGGATTTGAGAAGATTAAGACACAGGCATCATCCCTATATACAGAAAGACTGTTCATATAACCGGTAATTGCTCAATCATCGTACCGATGGAAATCAAAAAAAATGCTTATTTATTGTATAATGAAATAATCTGTAATATTACATCTGCAACCTAGTCTAAGAAGTTCACAACAATCCCCAGGTGGATTGAATCCAAAATGGCTAAGCTTGTGTGCAGAAAGCTTGAAGGAGTCCAGGATTTAAACTTGTAGGCACGGGTAGAGGACATAATGCACAACATTGAGTATGCAATTCATCATTGACATGCCATACAAACGTTGCATAGCATATCGCACCAAATTTGATTCTGCATTTAGTATTCTGTTTCCAGTATCCCATCAATGAGACCAAACTCCATAGCCTGCACAAAGGCAGCCATGAAAGGACGGTGATTAGTTTTGCCCAATTGAAGCTCCGTAATGCAGTGATAGTGAGATGCCATCAATGTTATAACTGTATGTTGAAAAGTCCAACCAACAAGTGGCATGTAAGCATAATCTCAGAAATAGAAAAATGAAGGCAGTCATAGATTCACCACTTGATGTCATTTTGGCAATGACGCATATAACTGTGATCTTGTACCTCAGAAAGCACTCTAATTAGTATAGCGTTTTAGTTATTTCACAAGAACTTATGATCATAGACAAACCAACTCACAAACATAATGCAGGGTGATACATGTGTTTGCACATGCATGCGCTGTGTTTGAAGGGGTGTGTGAACAGGAGCCAAAACTGCAGGATCCAAGTTAGGGTATTATCCAGACAAATGTCGATTAATTAAGTTCATTCATCCTATTTCTTCTTTGAGCTTACCATTCTCTGTTGGAGCGCGCGCCCTCTTCCAGAAACAGTGGGGAATTATTTTCATTTCTCTTTCCTTTTCTTTTGCTTTTGGGGTGGACGGAGAATTGAATAAGAACATAACACCACTACCCAGTATTCACTAATAAGCAATGACAGTATAGCATCTTTGCCTCACAATAACAAGTAATGTAAAAAGATTGAATATTACCTCCGAAACAGACAAGAAACGATCCCTTTCAGTATACTGCTGCACTTTCTCAAGAGGTTGGCCAGTAAATGCAGAATACATTTTGTCAATTTTCTGTAACAAAAAATCAAGCAAAAAGGTAAACCACATATCACTTAATAAATTTGATCAATAGCACTCATAAATCATAAGTTTCTGCTCTTGATTAGCATATAAGACAAATTCTACAAGCCTGCACTGCAGTTTGGGAAGGGCTCACTCCTGCTCACATGTGGTTGCGAGTTCTACCCTCATCCCTTCCCCGCTGTAAAAATAGAAATGATAAATTCATTGTCATTAATTAGATTGTTCCAAATTCAAGATAAAATTTCTGTGACCATGAAGAAGCAAACATCTATTTTATCGTTATTCACTCGAACACTGGACAATCATGCAACTTTATTTAATGAAATTATTTTGTCAAAAAGTTCCATGTTATCATCTAGGCATGAAGCTGATTGGTATATCCTTTCTCCTCCTTTAAACTCGGCAGTTTTACAGGAAATAGGCAGGCATACCAGCCATATTCATCCCATCATTTTTTTTTCTTTGATAAGAAACTAAACGCTTATATTTAATAATTTAGAAAATGAGAGTTACATCTCTCCATTATGAGGCTAAGAAATGAATACGGTCCCACAATCCTTCCAAAGACTTGTATCGATCTTTAAGAATTCTTGAATTTCTTTACTTCCAAATAACCCAAAAAAGTAGCAATAATAGCACAGTTCCAAAGAATCACATCTTTATCATATATTCCAAAGCCTTTCATCTCTTCAATAAAGCAAGATGTGGATGAAGTAGGAATCACCCAACTCAAACCCATCATTTGAAACAACTTATACCACATAGCCAAAGCAATCGGACAATACATAAATAAGTGATCTATGCTTTCGCAATCAACTTTACACATCACACACCACTAATGTGAAAAACAACTAGGAGGCCTTCTTTTCCGAAGCACATTACAAGTGTTAAGCTTACCACGTGCAATAGTCCATGCAAAAACTTGCACTTTAATAGGCACTTTAGACTTCCATATCATCAAAGCAGGGGCAAAAGTAAGGCAAGAATATTGAATCATCAAAGATTCAAAAAACGATTTACAAGAGAATACACCAAACACTTCTAGCATCCACTTTCGTACATCGCATGACTCTAGATTCAACAAACAACTATTTAGGATGCCAAGAAATGAAGTGAGATCCTCAATGTCTCTATCTCCTACATTCGTATGGAATTCAAAATCCCAAGAGTATGGATAATTGGAAGACCTTAGCAAAGAAGCAATGGAAGCATTTTGGAAGAAGAAGGTTCCACTGGGAATGGTAGACCCACCACAAATCTCAACTCTTGGAAAAACCACATCAAAACCTGAGATATGAATTTTCATGGACAGAAAAAACTTGCCCTTTCAACCTTATGAGTATCCCAATAACTTGCAATAAGAAGAAAGGTTCCCAATAACTTGATAGGCAACCAACCTTATTCAACCACACAGATAAATTTTTTCTGCTTCATATGTTGCTTTCCAACATATTCATAGAGAGCCCCTCAATTGCTATCTTTTCCACTGAAATTGGTGTCATGAAAAGGACAAAGTGGGGGGGGGGGGGGGG